TGGCGTCCATCTGTTCCTGTCTCTCCTCAGCTCTCGCCTTCTCGTCCAACATACCTTGATATTTCTCAACCCAGCGAGGCTTCGACAACCTATCCACCAGTCTCATGTCCCTGACCTGGATCGTCACCCTTCTCGAATGGATGACCACCTTGTTGGTGTTCTCGAAATTGACGACCAAGTACGCCTCGACAGTCTCGATCAAAGCACGCACCGCCATCATCTGAAACCTCACGCCCATACCCGGAGCAATGTCCCGCTCCAAAACCTCGCGCACAAGACGCATGAAAGTCTAGCAAAGGTCAGTGGATAGTTGCAACTTTCTGATTTACGACAAAGTTGCCATCTCGGGGTATCGACGGCGTCTGGGAACCTGAGTTCGTACACCTGTGGTGTCTTCGGTCCCTAGCACCGCCTTCGGGCTCACCTTCTTTCTGCCTGCGGGCATCTGCCCACGTGGAGGTCCCGGCGTGCATTTCTTCTTCTTCCCCGGGCTCTGCGACATCGTGACATCGCTCGGCCCGCCCACGTCACCCTGTGCTGCAGAGCACCCCCCGACGCGACCAGGACCACACGGGCCCTCCACCTCAACAGACAAACGAGAAATTTCTGAGCGCTTCTTTGTCCTCTTGCCTGCCTGCGTTGAACCAAGCAAGCCATCCTCCGGCATGTACCGAATGTCTCGCAGGAGTCCATCTGAGTAGGTCCGATGGAAAGGCACACCAAGCGGGTCTCTGAATCTCATGGTGACGTCTCCACCATGCTCATATGTCATGGGACATACGACCAGGACCCAACCAAGAACGGTCGTGCAACCGTGCCTGCGGCGAATGCGAGCCATGTATCTCTTCTCACCGTCACCGTGCTCTTGGGCCGTGCAACTCCCCTCAATCATGGACCACATCCCCTGGTCAGCCATGGAGTCATAACCCGTGCACACCATCTGACGCTCCTCCTCCCTTATCCTCTCCCAACACCGCTTTGAGTGTTCAACCACTAGGACGTGGTCCTTTACATTCAAATTGAAAATTGAGACACGTGTCAGAACCACGAGGAACTGCCAATGCTCCACAATGCCTGCATGCATCCATCCCAATGGGAACCAATGCGCTAGTTGTAGTCTTGCTGCCATCGTCACCTTGCCATCAACCACTGCAGGATGCAAGCATCCTGGGACCCAATTGACACGATAACCATACTTTTCAGGGGCCATATGCTGCTGCAACTGTCCTTCAGGGATGACACGGGCCCCAATGTCCATGGCAGACAGAACGTCACTCCTCATTGTGACATGGTCCCATATCTGCGAGCATACTCCATCGTACGTGGCTTCCTGCCCTCTTGCATGCGTGTATGTGCTGCCATCCTCACCAGTGAAAACTTTCCCTTCAACCACCTCCAAGTCCACAAGGTTCCGAAGCGGCGGGAAAAAGCAGCCAACAGTGTGGGTATTACATGTCATTGCCTTCTTCTCGTCTTCTGAAACCTCCCTGTCGAGGTGACTGAAGGAGAAGTTGCCATTCACATAATGCAAGCTCCAGACATTTCCCATGGCATCACGCATCATCATCCTCACACGACCACATGGAATCGGGATCACACATGGCACCCAGCCCCACCTAGGATCCCTCCTTTCATCGCTCTCGTGGCACGCCGTACTCCCTGTTGCGTCGTTCCCGCCAATCACCCATGCCTTTCCGCAATCAAAACTGTCGTACAAAACATCATTCAGCCTCAACTCGCCCCGCGCCTCCAGAACACACCACACGTCCATTGCATATCGTGCTTTTACCTTTGTTGTTGCCCCATCGTTCAACCTTTATAGTCTGTCAAACACGATTGCTAGAGTCACGTTTCGCCATGTATTCTTTTTGGGGGCAGGAAATGGAACCCATGTCCCTTCGACTTTGAACGCAAAGCAGGGTGCTCCTCCAACAATACCCGGTTGAACACGACCTGGCACCCAAGTGATGTCATATGGGTACTCTTCTCCTGCTGATGTCTTCACCACATTTTCATCTTTCACAATACACTCATTCAGAGATTCCCTGCTTCCCAGACCTCCCTCCTCTCTCTTTTCCCCAGCCGTTTCCGTCTCACAAGTGCTCCTTCGTGCATCATTCTCTGTTTCATCACCATCACCTATCATCTCTGCAGTCTGTGCACATATTGTCACAAGCACCTCTGCACAGTCTGTGTTGTTCCCTCCTGCCGAATTCCCTTCCTTGCAGCCATCTGCAAAACCCTTCAGAATGTCCTCCGTCTCCATGGCGCATGTCTCTCCACCGTTGACAGTCGATGCAATCGCGGGTTCTATTTATTGCATGCGATACCACATAAATGTATGAGAACACGTAGCTGCGACATGACGCCCTCACCCGCGCGCGCGCGCGAGAGAGAGAGAGAGAGAGAGAGAGAGAGAGAGAGAGAGAGAGAGAGAGAGAGAGAGAGAGAGAGAGAGAGAGAGAGAGA